CAAAAGCATTTACGTTCATTCACGATGAAATCTTGACAAAAGCATTTACGTTCATTCACGAAGAAGTCATGACAAAAGCATTTACGTTCATTACGATGAAATCATGACAAAAGCATTCACGTTCATTACGATGAAATCATGACAAATCATAAACGATGAAATCATGACAAAAGCATTCACGTTCATTCACGATGAAATCATGACAAATCATAAACGATGAAATCATGAGAAAAGCATTTACGTTCATATACGATGAAATCATGACAAAGTCTTGACAAAGCATTCACGATGAAATCATGACAAAAGCATTCACGAAGAAGTCATGACAAAAGCATTTACGAAGAAGTCATGACAAAGTCTTGACAAAGCATAAGGCAATTTTCTTCATCGCTCCAGAAATAATTTTTGTTCTTTGTTGAAATAGTTTTCGTTCCTCTACGTCCATAAGGAATGTATGCAATAAATTTAGCATCATAAGGTATTATAATATATTCAGGGTTTCTTTCATCGTCAATGGGTCTGTCTTTGTTAAAATGCATGTTCCTCAGTTTTACTTGAGTTTTGAATAGTTCACGGAAACGTTCTGGGAAAGAGTCATAGTAAATGTAGTCGGACATGTCTTTGTAATGAAATAAAAAATTTAAAAAAAAATAAAAATAAGGTTATATTTTTCTTATATACGAAAAAAAGAGATCTGACATTGTGTCAGATCTCAGTAAAAGTGACATTTACATGTCAAAAAAATAGAATGAGTTTAAGTAATTAAAATTGAGGGTGAGAGTAGTATTGTATGAAATAATATCTCTCACCCTCCAATTCATCCTATGGCGCCGAAAAAATTTTGGTGAAATGCGACCACATTTCACCAAAATTTCTCGGCGCCATATAGAGAACTAGAGCCTGTGAGGTACTGATACTATCCATGTACCTCGCAGGCTCTTAGTTCCAAGCCAAAATGGCTAAAAATTGCCCGCAATTGTTCACATTGCGGGCAATTTTTAGCCATTTTGGCTGGGAATTGGAGGGTGAGAGTAGTATTGTATGAAATAATATCTCTCACCCTCCAATTCATCCTATGGCGCCGAAAAAATTTTGGTGAAATGCGACCACATTTCACCAAAATTTCTCGCGCCATATAGAGAACTAGAGCCTGTGAGGTACTGATACTATCCATGTACCTCGCAGGCTCTAGTTCCAAGCCAAAATGGCTAAAAATTGCCCGCAATTGTTCACATTGCGGGCAATTTTTAGCCATTTTGGCTGGGAATTGGAGGGTGAGAGTAGTATTGTATGAAATAATATCTCTCACCCTCCAATTCATCCTATGGCGCCGAAAAAATTTTGGTGAAATGCGACCACATTTCACCAAAATTTCTCGGCGCCATATAGAGAACTAGAGCCTGTGAGGTACTGATACTATCCATGTACCTCGCAGGCTCTAGTTCCAAGCCAAAATGGCTAAAAATTGCCCGCAATTGTTCACATTGCGGGCAATTTTTAGCCATTTTGGCTGGGAATTGGAGGGTGAGAGTAGTATTGTATGAAATAATATCTCTCACCCTCCAATTCATCCTATGGCGCCGAAAAAATTTTGGTGAAATGCGACCACATTTCACCAAAATTTCTCGGCGCCATATAGAGAACTAGAGCCTGTGAGGTACTGATACTATCCATGTACCTCGCAGGCTCTAGTTCCAAGCCAAAATGGCTAAAAATTGCCCGCAATTGTTCACATTGCGGGCAATTTTTAGCCATTTTGGCTGGGAATTGGAGGGTGAGAGTAGTATTGTATGAAATAATATCTCTCACCCTCCAATTCATCCTATGGCGCCGAAAAAATTTTGGTGAAATGCGACCACATTTCACCAAAATTTCTCGGCGCCATATAGAGAACTAGAGCCTGTGAGGTACTGATACTATCCATGTACCTCGCAGGCTCTAGTTCCAAGCCAAAATGGCTAAAAATTGCCCGCAATTGTTCACATTCCCATCTTTTGTTGGTAAGACGAAGAATATGAAATAAATTATGAAGAAGATAATGATGAATAAAATATCACTTTTTATATTTTTGACACGTAAAGTTGTCACTTTTCTGTCAAACCGTTTTTATCGTTTTCGTATATAACATTTTATTTAGTGAGGACGGTAGTGAAGTCGTTAGTGATGTCGTTAGTGAAATCATTTATGTGTCAGATGGTTTTGTAAATATTAAAGGTTAAGTTGGTGTTTGTGTTTGTGTTGTAAAATATACGTTACCAGTTTTGTAAAGTGTCAAATTCACAAGTATTGCGTACGGAGGAACGCAGTGCCACCACACACAAGATAGGGATACTAACTAAATTTATGAGAACATTAGTGAAGTCGTTAGTGAGAACGATAGTGAGAACGTTTATTTTTACATTAGTGAGTTCGTTAGTGAAGTGAAGTGGTTGGCGGTTTGTAAATATTTAAGGTTAAATTAGTGTTGTCGTTTGTGTTGTAAAATATACGTTAACGGTTTTGTAAAGTGTCAAATTCACAAGTATTGCGTACGGAGGAACGCAGTGCCACCACACACGACTTAGCCATACTAACTAAAATCTAAATGAAACTTTGAAACATTCAGATATGTTTAGCTCGGTATTATATGATCCAATTCAAGAATTATATTATGCAACTTTTGGTCGCTATACATATTGCGTAAAAATTATGTCAGATTCACAATATTCATGCACATGTAAGCACATCGAATTATACGGATTACCTTGTATTCATGTAATCGCCGTATTGAATCACTTTTCGAACAAAAATCTTCTTAAAAATTTGAATGATGCAGTTCATGCTCGCTTCAAATGTTCAGAGTTTATGACTCCTGTGGAAGATTTAATGAAATTTTATGTTGACCAAGCATCTTTAAAAATTCCCGGAATAAATTTCAACCTGGGAGAGATTGAAAAATTAAGGGGAAAAAGGACTAGGATTAAAGCATTTTACGAAAAGTGATGCTGTGTTGTTAGTTAGTTATTTATTTACTTTTTTTAATATTTTTTAAAAAAATAAAAGAAAATTCAAATAATTTTGTATCTCCCATGATATATCGACCCACGAGTACTAATGTGGCTATAATTAGAGATTGCAACTCTATTATGATCATAGTCCGGTGATATACAATAAGATTCAAATTTTGAAAGAATTAAATTAATAAAATCCCGGTGAAAAAAATAAAAACAGCTTCTAAAAGTATAGTTATCTTAAAATACGAACTTTAACACAAGTTTTTTGATCCAATAGAAAATTGAATTCTTTGAATAAATAAAATATTTTATGTATTAACATATTAAATTTCCTAATTATTTTTTCTTCTTGGGAAAATTTTTGAATTCGAATAGAAAATTCAATAAATTGAAATTGGGTTGAAAGAATTCTCCATATTAACTTGTCATATATTTCAGATCATATAAATTAAGTTAATTAAATTTTTTAAAAACCTTAATAGGATAAAAAAAAGAATTTACACTCTCTCACTTTGAAAACGTAGAAAATGCCAATCTATTGGTATACATTTTAGTTTTGTTAAGTTTACAAAACGATTACTCTAGATTTTAAAGATTTATCAAGAATTTAGAGAATATCCTTCTCAAAACAACTTCAATAGCGAAGGATTAGTATTGAATCGGATTTGTAACATAATTATAGTACATTACAATACAATTTCTCCGACTTTTAAATATTTTTGAAATATTTACAAAATATGCTCTTTCTATCATCGATACTTTAATACAGAGCAAATTTAGTAAATGTCATCACGTTATTTTTTCATAAATCGTTTTCGAACTTTTGAAATATTTATTTTAAACCAGTTTTCTACATTTAATATGTGAATTAGATCAAAAGTAGATGGGCGATACTTGTAAATCTATTTAAACTATTAGTTTGCTATTATTGAAGAACTTTATAATTTTTTTTTCTTATGTATGGAATTAAAGATAATTTTGCCGATTCGAACTGGTTTTTCTATATGAGTTAAATATGCCAAGTGAAATTGGACTTGCCAATATTGTAAATTGAAGTATGGACTATATATCGATTTTCATTGATTGATGAATAACTCGGAGTAATGTAATTGTTGATAATGAAAAATAGTTTTCAATTGCTGGTAAGGGCCAATGTATGTTCAATAGCTCCGAAAGCAAAAAATGCACGTTTAGAAAAAGACGATAACGATTAAATTACAAAATCGATAACGACGACGATTAAATTACAAAATCAATAATGACCCAAAGTCAATGAAAGATGAATTAATCTGGGTTGATGCAACTATGTTTATTTCAAAACGAAGAGACTGTTTATGCAAATTACTTACACCACGACTTGATTCAGACGGGAAAATCCGTAATTACAAAAATATTAGTATTTATGTTAAAGACTTTGGTGGAGAAGAGTCACTGAGATATGTAGCAAACTTCAAAGTCATTGATTATCCATTTGTTGAATCAATGGCTTCGATTATTGATTATTACAAGAAACACGGCTATGAAATCAAGAAAGATTTGTTCTTAGTTCCATATGACTTTAGGATTTCGCCTGCATTTTCATCCGAATTTCATGAAGATCTCAAATCATTAATTGAAAATGCTTCTAAACTCAATAACCAGAAGGTCACACTTTTTGGATTTTCTCTTGGTGACTTTAACTCTCAATATTTTCTACAAAACAAAGTTGATCAAGCATGGAAAGACAAGTACATTGATCAATTAATATTATTAGCGCCATCATTTGTTGGAATGACCTCCAATTTACTTTCATTTTGGACTAAATCATCGTCACTTGTTCCAAACTACCATGCTCCCGAATTACAAGAATTATGTGAATCTTGGCCGAGTATTCACGTCCACAATCCTAATTTATATGCATTTGGTAATAGAACAGTGTTCATATGACCAGATAGAAAGAATTACACTGCATGGGATGTTTATTCTTTCGCCAAAAAGTTTAAATTAGTTTCAGACAAGTATTTTAAGATGTATGAGTATTCGTATAATATTACTAAGTCATATCCAGCAGCACCAGGTGTAAAAACAACGATTTTCTACAACTCTGGAATTGCTACAACAGATGTTTTAGATGTTAATAAAGGATGGGACAAACTTCCAAAGGAATATAAAGCCCTTGGAGATGAAAAGATTCCAGCTCATGGTATTGAATGGGTCTGCAACAATTGGACAAACGTAAATTGTTTAGATTTCAAAATGTCTCATAAATCATATGAACACCAATCTTTGGTTAGTAACAAGAGGGTTATTGATGTAATTTATAATACAACTAACCATTTACCATTTATTCCAAAGAAGAATGAAAAAACTATTAACTATGAATTTACTATTCTTTAATGTACAATTATCTTGTTTTCTATCTCTAATTATAAAAACTCATTTGTTTAAACTTAATTAAAAAAAAATAGTGAAAATATTTGTTTACTCAAGCTTCTAGTTACACAAAAGATTTACAATTAGAATGCACATGTATAATTATAGTATTTCCAAAATGCCCTTGCAGTTTCTTCACTTTTCCAGTACCATATCGCCAAATTTTATTTAAATACGGCTTTCTCATCTTCACAGTTTTTAATTTATTTATAGATCTATTAATGAACAAACTGGCAATGAAAATTTAATGAAGATATACAAGATTTTTGTTTTATATGAGAGATAAAGTAATATATTTGATAACATGCATGTAAAATATATTTAATTATCCAATTCCAGCGTTGCTATATGGGATAGAGGTACGTCTTCTCAGAACTGAGAGAGCAAAATCCAAAATAAAATGAAGTGAGGTGAAGTTAAACGAAATCTTAATATATTATAAAACACGCCTTACTTTTAATAATTATTTGATTATCTTATAAGTGTTTTTGACACTTTTATGGTGAACGTTTATGAAATGTAAAAAGTGTCAAAAATGTCTAGTGCCGAAGCAAAGAAGCAGGCTGAGGAGAAGCAGAAGCAATTAGAAGCACAACATGCTGCTCTTCTTGACAAGATTCTCTCCACAGAAGCAAAGGAGAGACTTGGTCGTATTGCTCTCGTTAAGCCAGAAAAGGCTAGAATGGTAGAAGATCTTCTCATTCAGATGTCTCAGCAGCGTAATCTTGGAGGTCCAGTTCAGGATGCCGAACTCCTCGAAATCCTCAACAAAGTTTCTGCAACAGAGCAAGCCCACTCCACAGTTCAAATCAAACACCGTGGAAAGTTTGATGATAAGTGGGATGACGATGATGAGGGTTGGTAATTTGTAATCCTGTTTCAAATTATTATATTACAAAATAAAACTATATCTTTTGATATCGGATTTAAAATTATATTTACAAACTTACTTCTATGATTGATTTTGGCTTAATGTCCAATCAAAGTCAAAAAAATACATTTATAATTCAAAATTAAAAATAAAAATATAATAAAAGCATCTACTAATTAGCAGATTCTTGTTCTGTTATGTCTTCTTGCTTATTAACAAAATTTTCTTTCCAATTTGGTTTTTGCAAAAATTGGCAAGCGGAAACATATATATTATTAGAATCTCTTATATTGGCAGGGAACTCTGAGCTCGTAAGGATGCTCAAAATGCTATCCATTATATAATATGGGTCTGGCAAAAAGCTAAATGACAATGCAACGCAGATAATCTTCAATTTATCAACAACCCCCATTTCTGCTGTGATTCCATTGAAAATTCTGATTGCTTTATCGATGCAAACAGCCATATCAATTGGATAACTTGTAAAGGTCAATTCATTAAAAAGATCAATGACGCGTTGCATTTCTGGATGTATAGGAATGAATAACCTTCTATAATTTTCATCTTTGTCTGCGAGATCTCTCAAAAATGAAAAAGTTTCAACATGATTTTTGTCATTTTCCGAGGAATTCTGCTCATAACTAAGTCCAAACAGCATTCTTTGGAAAGTAAAAAGTAAATAAGGTATAACATTCTTATCAATCTTGTGTTGTTCTAAAAATTGGATTGCAAACGCTTTTTGTTCTTTAATTGTGCGTTTTGTCTGTAAAGTATCGATGTTTATTTCAGAATTATATAAGATTGAGCTCAAAACTGTCTCCAGTTCAAGAGTAATTGGAGAATAAAAATCTGTGTAATAATTTTCGCTTGTTATTTGTTTTGATAAGTATTTTACGTTGAGAATGTTTTGATCGTCTGTTTGTTTTGAAAGCTGCATGTAAAATTTTATCAAAACTTCTAAAGCATCGACTGTAATTTTCAAACGACTGTAATTCTTACGAATCTTAACTGTCTCGCTCAGTTCTGGCTTTTGTACGAATGACTCGAGATTTTTGATCTTAAAAACGACATTTGATGGTTTTTTAATTAATTCTGTCGCCAACTCAAGCATATCAGTTGCAGCATGAAGATTTATATTGATCTCTGATAGCATCAAATTGATTCGATTGAGTTTTGTAATCCAGTATTGATTTTGAAGAATTAAAAATTTACGACATACAAATTGAAACTCTTGGTGGCATAATATCCAGAATTTTGGATGTATTAGAGCGTTTAGTTGAGCTTTAAAGTCAATAGACTTTTGGATTCTAAATATTTCGGCATTTGAATTTTGTTTTAAAGTTTGGAGTGTCTGTATAATAGGTTTTAATCTTTCGTGAACATCAATGAAGTGGTCCTTTAATGGTTTGCAGTTTAAAAATATGGGATCTGACCTCTTAAAAGGCTGTTTAATTACGTATTTATCGATATATTGATAAGAATCAAGAATTTTTGCCTCATAATCGATTTGTAGGACTTCGTGCTCACTAATCTCTGAATATTGAACGTAATGCTCGGGTGGAAGAGTGGGATTTTCCTGCATTGACACCCATTGTTATCGGCGTGGAGATAATCATTTTATCTTGATAGTCATGCAATGATCTAGATTAAATTGAATAGCGTGGGTTCCAAAATTTCGAATATTTAGGATTATTCATGGATACTTATTAAATATTTTCTGGTTGATCATAAATGTTTGCGCCAATGCAGAAATAAGTTAGGATATAAATACTTAGTCCAAAAACTGATTAAGTATCACATGGATTATTCAATAAACTTAAATTCGATGGACAATTGCTCCAAAATTTGGAATGCAAGAAAATTTTACATAAAAAGTAAATACACTAGTAATCATATTATTGATTTTTGATGGAGATATCATAAAATTTGATTTGTTACTATGAATTTCAGCATTATTTTCTAGAATTAGTAATGATTTATGGAGGCTAACTGATTTTATGAATAAATAATCTCAATGGCAAATAGTTCATAATTTCCGAATATTGACACTTTTGGGAAAATTTCAACAGAAAAAAATTTTAAATGAGCAATCCTCAAGAGGAACCACCTAAGCCAAAAGGTCAACAGGACACACCACCAAAATGCTGTGGTAAGTGTCCACGTGGCCAGTGCAAATATTTAAAGTATTTGGTTGATCATAAGGCTTATTGCAAGAATTCAGATAAAAGCAAAGAAAATCAAGATGAAGGAATGTTCGAAATTGATGCAAAGGAATACGAAATGTTTTTATGCTGGAGAAGTCGTTTATCAGGCAGAATGGAAAAAATGTTGACACAAACCATGCAACCACCTGAAGGTGCACCAGCAGGATGCTGTGGTGGATGTTGGGGTGGTGCTGTTTCTGTTCAAAATAAGGAAAATATTGACAATAAGAAAGGAAAAGGAAATGATACACCTCTTATACCTCCTCCGCCATCTTCTACATTCTGTGCTTGCAGCATGATCAACCCTCCTCAAGAAAAGCAAGCTCAACAACAACCACAACAACAATTTAATTATCCCGGAATGTATCCATATCCTCCACCACCCCCAATGCCATACATGTATCCTTATGGAGGTCCCATGTACCCCTATCCATGTTATGCATACCCCCCGCCACCTCCTCAGTATTATGGGTTCGGATTACCTCCTCCACCTCCACAACCAATGGGTCCATGGAGAAATCCACCGCCACCATATTTTTGGTAGAATTTTATGTAATCCTTAGTTTTTATTTTCATTATATTCGTTCTAAATTGTTTCAAATTTGAATTTTGATTCCAATCTATTTTAAGTCAAGACTGAATTCGTTTTTTATTGATTTTGTCTTAAATTTTTAGTATTATCCTAACTAGAAATAATTCGCTCCACATTTCTTAGGATTGACAGAGGTCCAAACGGCAAATGGCTTCTACCGATAAGAATTCATGATCTCCAAAGATTTACATTGTAATAACATGAATTTGAAAGTCTCAACTGCATTTTAATTTTGTAATATATTCATGTATCACCTTAATCAATAATTTTCTAAAAAAAATTATAGAGTAAAGGAGTTGAAAGGCTTATTAGCGAAGAAAATGATTTCATATCAGTTATTGAAATTCGAGAATTTTATGATTAAAAAGCTTATCTTATTTAAGTTCATACATTAAGCATTTAAAATAAAATAAAAATGAATAAATTTATAACTTACATTTCAGGTAATGGCTCTTTAACAGGTATATTAGGGTTAGGTTCGTGGCTCATCTTCTCAGCGTATTCCTCGTCATCCATTCTCTGTGCTTCCTCTTGTTCCTTCTGTTCCTGGATGTCATCTTCTGTTTGGAATTTCATAAACAGTCTCTTACAGAAATTGGAGGTTTCCTCGTGCACCTTAATTGGTCGGGACATGGCCGCTCTCGGTGGAAGCTCCGTCATTTGTACAGAAGGAGCTGCTGCGAGATGTCTGACGTTTTCCATGACGTGGACGTAAATGTTATGGAGAAACTCTTCGGAGTTGAGGTTCTTCTTCTTATCTGGATGGAGGTGGAGCTTGTATGATGGTTGGAAGTACTCAAGATAATCATTTTCTGGTAATTCGTCGGGAATATCTTGATTAACGATTAATGAGGTCTCGTATGTCCAACAGCGAGCAACACTCTGCTTAATGTAGCCGCCACCGCCCGCAACAAGAAGTGGAATTCCAAATGACTGGACAAACTTAACGCATTCACCATGTCCGTAAGTAGAAAGGTTGAAATAGCCGAGAAGATCACCTACAAGTGAATCTGCTCCGCATTGTAAGAAAATCGCGCCTGGTTGGTAGAAATGGATGAGATTTCTGATAATTGGCTTGAATAAGTAATGATATGCTTCGTCTGTCATGCCATCACGAAGAGGAACATTAACTGCGTAGTACTTACCGCTATTAATTCCGACATCTGAAATATGACCACTTTCTGGGAAGAATTCTTTTCCATATTTATGGAAGGAAACCGTTAAAACACGGTCAGTATTGTAAAAAGCTTCTTCAACGCCATCGCCGTGGTGAATATCAATATCAATATACATAACGCGTGGATGATATTTAAGCAATTCCATAATGCCGAGGACGCAATCGGCTATGTAACAAAATCCGCTAGCCTGATCTCTTCTAGCGTGATGGAGGCCGCCTGCCCAATTAATTGCAACGTCTGCAAGGTTGTAATTCAATCTTTGAGCAGCGCTGATACTTCCACCAGCCGAGATTTGGCAAAATTCGAAAATATTATCGAAAACAGGGCAGTCGAAACCAATATTATAGTGAACTGCATCTTCGGATTTTGGATTTGTATTAGATGGAGTTGCTGTTTGAAGGAATTTGATGTATCCTGGTGTATGAAATCGCATCATTTCTTCTGGAGATGCTCTGCGTGGATGGAAGACGTCCATATGTTCATGAAGTTTGTAGCCAAGCACAAGACTATGCGTCATGCGAACACGGACAGGTTTCATAGGATGGCTATGAGTATAATAATAATTGCCAATATCTTCGTCATAAAAATAAGCAATCCTCCGCTTAGGGATGCTCATTTTGTAAAATTTAGATTTCTGAAGTTTACGAAGTGCAAAATTTTGATGAGTTATATCACTTCATATGAGAGGAAATACTTCTGAATGGATTTGTACTTTGTGTATTTGTATTTTTGCTCAGATAAGCATCATTATGTTGAGAAAATTAGATTATTTGAATTCAATTGGAAATATCAAGATTATTGACTATCTCCATTCAATCAAAATTCTTATGTATGATGCAAATTTCGTATAGTTACTCAGTATTTAATAGTAATTAACAAAAAAATATTCAAAATTATGCCAAAACTTAGCAAAAATAGTATGTTTATGCACAAATATTCTAGTATATGTATCTTATAATGTAATAAATGATTTTGATATGCCTTTTTTATCCAAAAATAATTTGTTTTTTTAATTTTGAAAATAAAAATGTTATATTTGTCCACGAATTTTACACTTAGATGAAAATTTGAAAAATGAAAAGTTTCGATTATACGAGTAAATAGTATTTCTTCCATAAAAACTATAATTTTCAACAAAAATGTAAATAATATCATTCAATTATCAATATGGAAGTATTTTGGTCATTAGTATCTATCATGTACTGCATACAAACAATACCCCGATATACCAGAATGCTTATATTGCAAATTGTTTTGTATTGTTTATTCGTAATTGAACAAAATTTCTCCAATATAGGATTGTTAGGATTTCAACACTGAATATATTGCAAATTTATTAAAAATATTAAATTTCATTATTTGAATTCCCAGAATGTAATTTTAACTACAACGTTTTCTTCCATAACTAGACTATTCAGAAACACATGAATTTGCAAAACCAATTCAAACTGTCAATCTTTAGAAAAATTGACAATTTTCGAAACCCCTTATTATGGTTCAAGTAAAAATCGTTCTTGTTGGCGAAGCTGGTGTTGGCAAGACATGCATTTGCGAACGCTTAATTAGCGATTCTTATTCAATGCAAACAGCTCCAACAATTGGTGCAGCAAATTACTCCTTTACAATGAAAACAGATAAGCAAACATTAGAATTTAACATATGGGATACTGCAGGCCAAGAAAAATATAGAAGTTTAGCACCAATGTACTTTGCAGGCGCTCAAGTCGCAATTTTGGTTTTCGATCTTACACAGCCACATACTCTTCAGGGCTTAGATGATTTCTTTGAACTCCTCCGTAGCCGTGCTCCCGATTGCATTCATTGCCTTGTTGGCAACAAGTGTGATAAACCTAATGAGCGCCAGGTTTCAGACGAAGAAGCTCTTGCCTATGCCGGCAAAATAGGTGCTATCTTCTACATGGAAACATCAGCAGTTACCGGCCAAGGTATTAAAGATCTTTTTGAACAAATCGCTAATTCAAATTCAATTCCAATTCATGAGGATGAATTAGATTTCGTTCAGACTGATTCAACACCTGCCAAGAAAGGTTGCTGCTAAGAATTTTTTTTTAATAATTTTTATTGAGTTTTTTTTTCTTCTATCTATTTTAAAAAAATACTCGGCAAAGCTTTACAGCGATTATGATTTAGAAATATTCTTAATATTTTTCTAATTTCGACGTGGAAAAAAAATCATAAAGTTAGAACTGAAAGATATTTTGATGTATATTGGTAGTCCTTTTTATTATACTACTACAGTTTTTTTTCCTTTCAAAAAAATTTTTCCATAAATTCAATTTCAAAATTTTGTCACTTTTTGCATCAGTTCACCCGATGGATCAAGAACTTGTACAATATATAAATGCACTTGGTAAACAAGTTGATGATCTATATAACGATGCAAAAAATCTTGGCCAACTTATTCAACAGGATCCTGAAGCTGCTCAGAAAAATTATAATGCCTATAATGAAATCGTCAACAATCGTCAAAATCTTTGTTTTTTATTAATGTATAGCTTCAAAAACAGCCCTGAATGGGAGAGATCACTGGTAAGATATATTGCAGACTTTATTGAGTTTCGCTTCATAAATGAACCAGAGTCAAAAGAAACTGTACATAATATTGTTAAATTTGCAGGAATTATCTTTATTAAGACACCTAAAATCAATAACAAACCAAACGTTCAAGAGTATATCAAATTAGCTCACATTGCTTCATATAAATTTAGATTTCATCAGCTATTCTTTCAAAATTTAAATAAAATTTTCGAGGACTTTGATAACCAATCATACAGAATACTATATTTAATCCAAATTATTGGTTTAGGTTTTGCTAATTATTTTAGTCCATTATACAAGATTTTATTCCATGGTATTACCAATTTATCTGGTGATATTCAGTTATCCTACATCAATTACTTTATTGGAAGTATTAATACAATTGTATGCAGCAAAGGAATTACTGAAGAAATCATCAATAAATTTATTGAGATTTTTGTTAATAGTTCTGATCCAAACCTTACTTTTGCAATGATCAGATTATTCACGACAATAAATCAATATTACAGAGAAAACAGATCTTCTGATGAAATTTTAGCCATTGCTGCATTACAAGAGAATTTAATGGAATATGTATTAAACGCTCTTACTTTGGATGGTGCTCTTAACGAAATTGATTCAATTTTGAAGGAAATTCTTTTCATTGTCAACGAAAACAACTATTTATTATTATTTGATGAAAATTTAATTAAAGAATTTATAAATTTATGCAAACTTTCAGAGAACGATCTTAGTTCTTTGTCAGAAGAAAATAAAATTTTCGAATTTTATGACGGATCATACCAAAACAACAGAAATTATGTTCTTGAAATATTACAAAACCTTTCTTTCTATGATTTCGAATTAATTTTCTGGTTTTTGGCAAATGAACAATTAATTAATGAATTTCCAGAAGAATGTCTGTTTTTGATCTCCGGATTATCCAAAATAGCCAAAGAAAATGAAGATAAATATGAGAATATCAAAGAAATTATTTCTAATATTCTTAAAGAGAGAAATGATGGTCTGATTCTTATAAATCAGATAATAATTGCTGGAAATTATCACTTTTTATACGAAAGAAATGATATTCAGGCTTATTTCGAATACCTTTTGTCACCACCTGATCAAGTTTCAATTAATTATTGGCTTGCATCAATTTTATCTGCTTTCTCTGCATCAAAATATGAACAATTCTATATTACTTATGAAATGTTTGTTCAAATTTATCAATATTGCCAAGAAACAATGGATACTACATTGGAAGAAAAGATAACAAATTATCTATATCAGCTATCTAAATATCAAGAGTTTCCTCAAGAAAATCTTATTGAATTCGTTAGTAATTTGATTCTAATTGCTCTTTCAATTCCGAAAAATGAAGAAGAAAAGGAAAATTCTCATGTAGATGAATCAAATCCAGTATTGTTTGAAGAAAACGAATCTGGATATTCTTCATTATTTGAAGAACAAAGGAGTTATAATTCCAAGCTTAGATTACTTTTCATTTTAGTTCCTTTTGTAACACAACAGAATTTCATCGATGAAATGTTTAGTTTGTATGATGAATTTTTCGGATCAGAATGTTCAGATATTTTATCAACAGATCAAACTCCACAGTTTGTTTATGCCGCTATTCGATCACCGCTGTTTGATTTTGAAGAACAATTCGAGAAAATTCAAAATGTCACAGAAAATATTGCTAAATTAGAAGAACCTTCTAATCAGACATTGTTTATGAATTCTATTTTGATGCTCAAAAAGATTCCTGAATCATTGATTCCTTATTTCAAAGAGAAAGTTTCTTATTATTTCGATGATGAAAAAGGTTCTGCATTCGAATATCATAGTGATCAGCTCTTAGGAGCAATGCTTATTTCCAATTCCATTCTTCAAGGAATATTCACTCTTGAAGAAGCTTTGCAAAAACTTCAATCAATTTTCATGTTCGAAAATGAAGAACAAGGAGAAGAAGAAGAGAAAAACGAAGAACTTACGAATTTGAGAATATATTATTCTCATCTTCTTGTCAGATCAGCTTATTTACTCTCAATTCCAAATGAAGAAATTCAAACAAGGTTGGATCAAATTAATGCTTTGTTAAATGAATGTTTGGAATATCTTTCTTTGGGAATCAGATTTAGAAACATTGATTTCAATCTTATTGCAAGCGCATTCAAGCGATTTTCACAAGAAGAAGCTTTTGTTAATGCTTGTAACCAATATCCACCAGTCAATGACCCTGTTGCTGATGATAACGATTTATCCGATTTTTATCGATTTGATAATAGTGATTCTATATTCCATTACATTTTCCTTGAATAAACAGCATTTTATTTTTTTTTTACAATATTACTAGTCGTTCCATATATCAGTATATACATTATATCAAAGAATATCTTGCTGTTATTTAAGTTGTTTTTATAAATATGTCTTCAAGCAAATCGCACATCATTACGAATATCACTATCATTGAATTAATCAACTCAAGAGCAATAACCAAATAAACCATACTGTAGTATAAGTTGATGAACCATGATTTTATAAATTTGCCATGTATTTTCATAAAATGCAGGCAAAACGACTAAAAAATCACATATATTACAAAAAGGATATCATTTAACACACAGTGATGCCATATTCTATACACGTTATATAGAGTACATAAAAAAGGTTTTCTCAATTCGCGATTCTAAACAAATAATTCCATTCAATGGTATTTACTTGTGTTGTAAACAGAAATTCATCAAAAGTGACACCTCAGAAAAGCTAAAATATTGAATTTTTGGAACTTTTGATAGAGCACGTTTTTAAATATTAATTAAAGTAAATGTATATTTTGTAAAGATTCTTTTTAATAAAAAAATAAAATTTTGAAGAAGAACACAAAATCTTCTGAAAAATAATATCACATAAACTCATATTATTTTCTAATATATAACTATTTTATATAAAAATCAAATTCAATGATCTTAAAAGCGAAGGATAAACCTCAAAATTTACGAATATAATGAGTGGGAATATAATGCTTATCTATCATAAAACCATATGAAATATCAATTTTTGCTTTACGCCTAATTTTTGACGACAATTAGCAAAAAATGTTAAATGTTAACACTCAGTCCATTTGAATATGAAAAATAAAATTGACTTTGATTAAATGTTTTTATTTATCATGCAATTCTTCTTGCGACCAAAGATTTGAATAAAAGTTCAAAAAATAAGATAGCTTAAAAAATAATATACGGTAGTGTTTACTAATAGATGAATAGTATATAAATTCTATTAAAATGGATTTGATCCAAAAAAATATAAAACCAAAAATAATTGTTATAATTTAAATGAAGAAGTAATTTAAAACGATTTTATTTATGATCAAATTTTATATATTTTTTTGGATCAAATCCATTTTAATAGAATTTATATACTATTCATCTATTAGTAAACACTACCGTATATTATTTTTTAAGCTATCTTATTTTTTGAACTTTTATTCAAATCTTTGGTCGCAAGAAGAATTGCATGATAAATAAAAACATTTAATCAAAGTCAATTTTATTTTTCATATTCAAATGGACTGAGTGTTAACATTTAACATTTTTTGCTAATTGTCGTCAAAAATTAGGCGTAAAGCAAAAATTGATATTTCATATGGTTTTATGATAGATAAGCATTATATTCCCACTCATTATATTCGTAAATTTTGAGGTTTATCCTTCGCTTTTAAGATCATTGAATTTGATTTTTATATAAAATAGTTATATATTAGAAAATAATATGAGTTTATGTGATATTATTTTTCAGAAGATTTCATTCTATATGCCTATGAAAAGTACTCTCAAAACTAACTTTTTCCTAATTATAATTAAATCTAGAATATTGTATTATGTTTAGTATTATTTCATTTTTCTCATTCAATTTAGAATTTACAAATGTCAAAAAATTGAGAGCTGTCACTTTTGATGAATTTCTGTTTATTACACTTGCCATTTAAGCACCACTATAACATTGACATACTAAAAGAAGATAAATCAATGCATTATGAAAAAAAATATCGCGATATAATTATATTTTTTTTATTTAAGCACTATTTCAAACGATCAAAAACAAACTTTTTTTTTAAAAAAAATGTTATCGAAATTTTATTTATATCGTCAATTTTTTGAAAAGTGGCTGGCGGTTTTTCAATATCGATATGTCTGGATTAATCGATGAGATTAAAGGCGGCGATGATGATTGCGAATTATGCAAGTGCTCATTGAAGGTTAGACTGATTGGTGGTATCGCATGCGCTGTTATTTCCGCCATCTTCTGCTTCCTCTCCTTCATTCCATTCTGGCAAGACAACATGGTAGGATTTGCCATTCTTTATGCCCTTGGCTCAATTGGTGCTATCGCCTCTACATTCTTCTTCTCCGGCTGGAAGAAACAATGGAAGAATATTAAGTCTAGCGTTCCATGCCTTATTGCTGCTATTGTCGTTATTGTTTGCATCCTTCTTCTCCTTATTGTTGGCATCATTACAAAGAGCAAGGCCCTTTGCGTTATCTGCGTTATCTGCCAGTGGGTTGCTCAGGTCTTCTACATCATCTGCTCATTCCCAGGTGGCTGGACAGCAATCAAGACAACATGCGGCGCCTTATGCCATTAAATAAATTATTAACTTTTTTCCCTTTCTTCTAATTAACTATTGAAAATACAATGTTTTGCATTTGGCAGACATCTTTTGATAATACATGAGAGTTATCCATTCCTTAAATGTGATTTTAAATTATTCGACTTTTGCACCATGTGAATAGCTTTGTTGCCTGATATATAATAAGTTTATCAAAAAGGCATGCAAAATATTGTATTAAATCCATTTTATTGTATTCCATATAAACTATGCAATTTGAATTATTAATTTTTGATCAAGTACTTTACTGAGATGGCGCAAAATATTTCATTTATTCTATCTATAAGATTAATTTTAGTTGCATTCAAAAGGAAAACAACATATCGATATTTTCCATTCGTTAAAATAGAATTACAAACAAAGAAGTATTGACAAATTAATGCCGAGTACTAATAAAAGGTATTTAATTGCAATCAACCAAAAAATAAATAAAGATAATTTACTTCCAATCCTCATCGTTTTCATCATCATCATATTCTTCCTCCTGATAGCTCTTACGTGAGACTCTTGGTGGATTAGAACGAGCGTTCTCTGGGCGAGCTCCTACTCTACCCTTATGGCTCTTACGTCCACGCTTCTTCTTCTGAGCTCTCTCTATTGGCATCTGGCCGTTTGGCTTGAAATCTGGTTCCTGATCTTCATCATCATTATCGGCGTCATCCTCATCATAGTAGTTTTCTTCTTCAGAATTCTGTCCTAACTTTGAAGCACGAGCAGCTTCTTGATTATTAAAAATCCTTGTATTGATTCTGGAAAGAGCTAAAATACGATCTGTATTCTCTACTGTTTCATCATCTTCAGGATATTCAGGATAATGAATCTTGTATTGAGTTCCTTCGATCTTTACAATTTGAGCTTTGTAAATATCGAAACCATTTGGATCTATCATATAGATTTCTTCGCCTTCCTTAAATTGATGGTCTTCAACACGCTCAAACTGAGGTTCAGTCATTCGACTGATGAACTGAATTTTTTTGGCGCCAAAGTTTCTCAATTTTTGGCGGGGTTTTGGTTCGAAATTTTTCGGTTTTTTGGTGGTATCGCATGCGCTGTTATTTCCGCTTAAAGATTATATGAAGAATAAATTTCTAGGTTTTGTAAAAAATACGCAGCGTAAACTTCAGAAATTCTGAAATTGATTATATAGTGAATTTTATATTGAAAATATACTAGAATACTAATTTGGGTTAATTCTTTTCGATTTGTGTGAGATTTTTTTCTGTGTTGTGATTGAGAAATTCACGTTTTGCCATCGTGTGGCAGTTTGGATAATACAAATTGATATTATTCACTAGCCGAATATTATTTTCATATTTTTATGATGATTAAATTGAGAAATTAAATGGCGCCAAAAATAAATTGATTTTTTTGGAATTTTGTTTGCGAAACAATAACCCAAAACCAATTTAGAAGCATTTTCTATTTTCAAAATGTGGTCTTATTCATTCAAGCCAATAAAAAATTTTCAGAGTTATCGAAAACCAATATTAATCTCCTGGCATTATCTTGCGAATCAAAAATAAATCCAAGATTTATGCACATTTTTGGGATTAGTCCATTCTTTCAGATTTTCGATGTTTCATTGTTGCATAATTTCATAAAAACTATAATGATTGAAAAGCAAATATAATATCGAGATGAATCAGTTCATAACGACCCTGCGGTTTTATGGCCAAAATTCCACTGCTTCTTAAATATCAATATTTTTGATTCTTACATAAAAATTCTGCTGTGATTACTATATTTATTTACATTATTTATGATTTCATTTGAAATCGTTATAGTTTTCATATCCAATTTCATTTTCAATCAAAATATCAGAGTAAATCATTGATAATATGCTAGGCAGAAAAATGCAACTGGAATCATGACACTTGCTAAGAATATTAATCAAATCATAACAAAAATACTATACCATGACGAAGGGAGCATCAAAACATGCTATATTTTCAGCCATCAGTCATAAATGCATTGAAGATCGATAAAAATATCATTTTTTATTTTTTTATAAACAAATAATTGAGATGATTCCGATAATTGTGACGATATAAAAAAATTTTTTTATAAAATTTTTCTTGTTCTTTTTTTTTCTAAATGAAAGCCGCATTCTTTCAACAAATTGTTGAATTGTACAAAGCATCTAATACCGAAAAGCAACAAGAAATTGTAACAGAACTTGTGAAATGCGGAAATCCAGAATCATTTTTAAAATTTCTTAATAATCGTCTCGCTTCTAAGAATATTCAATTCCAACCAACATTTTCACTTTCTATAGACTATTGTTTAGAGATGGGTACAAAGTTTAAACAAGAAACGTTGAATGGTTTTGTTGATTTCTTCATCAGACTATTAGAACAACATCCAAATCCAACATCATTTACTAAATTTTCGAAATTCCTTGTTTCTGTTTTCGCAAATGTTGATTCATACGATACAGACAAAATGTTTAATATTTTGAAAGATCTTCCAGCGGATCTATCAATTCTTCCGTTATCATATTTTGCATCGCAGAACAAGCAGTATCTCCAGCATGTCTTTGATAAGGCAATTCAAACAAAACCAGCAGATGAAAGTTCAGCCATACTTTTGTATTGCCAAGCAACATCAATATTATTCAAATGCGCTAAAGACAATGTTACATATGACAAAGATACTGTTTACAAGCGAACAGAAGATTTTCTTAAACATAAATCTTTAACTCTTACTCAAAAATTCACTTTATTCAATGCTGCCTTAGTTTTCTTAGATCGTGATACATGCAACAACATGATTAATACTCATTACAAGAAACTTTGCTTAGAAATAGATTCTTCGTCCAAAAATGAAGATTTTGCAGAAGCTCTCAACGCATCAGCCGCTGTTCTCAGTCATATCAAGGCAGAAACAGTCATTGATCCTTGTTTGGTCTACGATACTCTCTTTAATCAGATTTTAATTTATTATCGACCATCGGATATAATTGATTCTTCATTAGTCAATGCATGTTCAGTCATTGAACCAGAATCACTCAAATTCCTTCTCAATCCTTTCATTGCTGCCAATGTAAATCCTAATTGTGCCTATTTCATCATTTCCCACTTCCCACATGATGATTACATCAAATATCTCATTGGTATCGATACAGGCTTATCAATAACAGTACCTCAATACCGTCAGATCCTTTATTATTTGAATAATCATGATGTAAAATCAACTTACATTCCTCATTTATTCAAAATTTTGACGGTAAGTGACATGCCATGTTTAGATCCAATTCTAGACAGATCTCCACACATGTACTGCACTGCCGCTGCAAAGTATTTAGCAACAAGTGATGATAAAGCTAAAATCGAGTACATAGCGAATGCTCTTTCTAAAAGAAAAATGTTACCTTTCATTAGATCGAGGCAACTTCCAAATGCATTTGTAAATGTTGCAATACAGACATTACAAGGTGAAGCAGCAACATTTCCTTTCGCTGTTATCATGGAGTATCTCTACGCTTGTTGCAGTTGCATTGAAGATGAAAACGATGAAAGTGAAATGGTCACATTCCAAAACAAATTTTCAAGAAAAACAAAGAAATTACATCATGAATATGAAGAAGATGAAGAAGAAAAATCTCCTTTGACTCCTAAACAACAAGAAAAAACTTCTCAGCCAGAAGAAGAAACTCCTAAACAACAAGAAAATCCTCAAAATGAAGAAGAAAAACCTAAAAACGAAGAAAATCAAGAAGAAACAAAAAGTGACAATGGGGAAGTAAAAAGTGACAAAAATAATGATAATGAAGAAGAAGAAAATCAAAATAATAATGAGGAAGAAGAACAAAAAGATAAGGAACCAAAAAGTGACAAACCTCAAGATGAAGAAAATAAAAGTGACAATGAAAAATCAAAAAGTGACAAACTTCAAGAAGAACCAAAAAGTGACAATGAGGAAGTAAAAAGTGACAAAACTCAAGATGAAGAAAATAAAGTTTCTGATGAAAATAAAGGTGATAAACCAGTTATGATGAGGAAAGACTTTTCAACAGCACTTTTATTTACAATTGGTGACAGTGCAGCCAAAGATCTTCCATTAGATTTCTTCGATGTTTCAACAGTGAAATGCGAATCATTGAGTCCAGCCAATTTAGTTTACAACATTGTTCAGAGGTTAAATGATTTCTCAACAACATTAACTAACATGGTTTTGGATGGAATAAGAGAAGGAAAGTCCCAAAACTGCATAATGATTGCAGCAATTTCAGGAGATCAACAACTACTTAATCAATGTGTCCAAGTTCTTTCTGAAACTCCTTCAATGTTAATCCACTTCTTCACAGTTTGCTGCTGTGTTTCGCCAAGAATAGCTGTGGAAGAAATGGTCAGATACTACTCAAAGGTTGAAAAGAAACAAACATTGTTCATTTTCAATAAAACAGTTTTGAATACTGATGAAATAAGGTTAGAAACCGTTTTACATTCATTGATTTCTATGTCACCTTTTATTCAAATTACAGAACAAATTTTAGATTTACTTAGAATGACGTTTGAACACTCAAATGGTTCATTTTTGTCATTTGAAGCCATCAATTCCATCTGTAAGAGATCGAAGAAGACATATGACGTAGAAAACTTGATCGATTTGATGTTGAAATTCTCAGAAAATGTTGATTCAAAGACATTCATTGATTCACTTTGTTCTGTTCTCAAAATTTCTAAAAATATTTCTCAAGAAATCGCCGAAAAAGTGTCAAAAGTTTGGATGAAACTATTAATAACTGAAAAGATTTCTCCTTCAAAAGATTGCGAATTCGAGAAAACATTTTTGCAGGCGAGATTTAGAGAAGTAACATTGATTCCGTTTTTGACAAAACTCGAACAAAGTTTTATCAAACACGAAGATTGTTTATTGTTGTATGACAGTTTGGAAAGGATTATCAGAATGAAAGAAATCAAATCAAAGTATTTGCAAAGATATATAACACTTTGCATTTCAAATTCTCTTTCTTCTAATAAAGAAATCCGAAAATTCTGCATCAAAACTCTCAAAAAGTTCGTGAAATTGAATGAGACGATAAGTCTTGAAATAACGAACAATTTCACAACAGATACAATTGATGCAACCCGACCATTTTATGACGAACTCGCCAGCAAATTCGATATAAACACAAGGATATTGTTAGCTGAAGCAGTTATGAAGCATTTCATGGAGTGTTTGAAGACAAACAGAGTTTCCATTTTGATTTTCTTGGATTGTTTGATAAATTTGGACAAAAACAACGAAGTTTTCATGAGTAAAACAAAGTTTTTCGTTGTAAATTTAATGAAAATGTCACAATTCTTGGAATTCAAGTCTCCTTTGGCTTCTCTTCATTGTAACATTTTGTATACATTGGCTTGCAATTCTCCCAATTCTTTCTTCGACCAAGTTTTGGAAACAAACGCTGATTCTTTGTACATGCGTTTGTTTTTGGAGAGATATTACAATGAACCAACATTTTCAAGGGCATTTTCTCATTTCGTTTATTACAAAGTTGAAGAAATTGTAATGAAAAATGATGAGTTCTTGATGCTGAAATTGCTGATGTTTTTGGAACGAAACATCGTGAAAAACATTTATTTGTACACAGATCCAAATGAAATTTCGAGTTTCTTGTTCACTTTGTTCTTGATTTTGAGCGATTTATATAACGCAAGATCTTCAAGGAAAACTCCAAACGAAGTACAGGAAATGTTGACTGTTTTGTTCCAAATTTGCCAGAAATTCTATAAAAATACAACAGTTAGTTTACAAAAGAACCAATTTGACTTCACATGTGAAGAGAAGTATTCAAATTGTTTGTCAGATTTTGTATCTCAATTTTCTCGACTTCCAAATCCGACAGTTTCACTTTTTGTCAACAAAATCTTTGGATTAGCGAATAACAAAGCACATTCCAGCAATGCAGGCATTGTCTTTGCATATTTATTAGCAAGTTATTCGCAGGCGTATTCCAAAGAAAGTCAGAAATTGTTGACAGAATACTTAGGAATGTTTTTCAGTTTCTTGAAAGAAGGAAAAGCAAATGATCCTAAAATCGTTAGTTCTTTGATGTCCGCGATCATCCTCTTCACGCCAACATCGTTTAGGACATTAGATTTGCATCAGATCCAGAGATTATTGAATGTAACTCTTGAAACAGCGAAAATGAATCCACAGAAAGCTTTGAAAGTTATAAATTTGATTGTCTCTTCAAGTGACAGCAAAGCAATTGAAACATCACTTGGATCTATTGTTGGAACAATCAGAGTGTTAGTTGAGAACAAGATGAACGAAAAGGAATGTTTTAGCTTGTTGAGAAGTGTCTTGAAAGTCAGAAAACAAGCGGAATGGTTCATCAAAGATTCTCCAATTTCTTTCAATAAAATGACACAAATTGTTGTTTTGAACAGAGACGAAGATGTTGAAGCAATTCTCATGATGTTGTTGGATTGCAAAGAGTTTAATACTGATGAGATTTATACACAAATGACGGGTTTGTACGCAGCTGTTGAACAGAGTTATTCGCACTACATAAAGATGTGTGAAAATGTTCTTTCTAAAGTTGATCCTGCGAAAATTAACTCACATCAGATGAATTTGTTGAAGAGTATAATTATTCCTTTGTGTTCTGTTGGAGATGGAAGTGCTGACATGATATTGGATAGGTTCACGCAGTTTATCACTGTTGCAATGGAAAAGAACTCAAATAGCGGTGTTTTAGGTGCTGCAATGGAATCTTTCGCAAAATTGTCTTCAATGAGAATTATCAAATCTAAGAAATAAAATTTATATAAACATTTATTATTCTTTTATTAAATTACTCATTATTTTCTAAAGAACTTAATATCATATCTATTTATCCGTATGTAATACTATCAGAAGAAACAACAAGTTCTTCTTCATCTTCATCATCTCCATCAGAAGAAACATCAAGTTCTAGTTCTTCATCTTCATCAGAAGAAGAAACAACAAGTTCTTCTTCATCTTCATCATCTCCATCAGAAGAAACAACAAGTTCTAGTTCTACGTCTTCATCAACAGAAAAAGAAGAAACACCAATAATTGACCCTAAGACTCCAATTCCTCCTCCAGTTAATTCATCAGCAGCAAGCCAGGACAATACCGTCGAAGAATCATCTACAAACAGCAGCAGTGGAAACAGTGATCCAAACAACAGCAACAATGGTGGCAGCAGTAACAGTGCAGGCAACACTGCCGGAATTGTTTGTGGTGTTGTTTTAATTGTTGCCATGATTGTTGTTGTCATCTTTGTTGTTTACAAGATGAAGTGTGCCAAAGATGGTAAACCAGATGTTGAAGTTGGCGATCAAAACACTATTCTTAATCAAAAAGTTGACTTAATGGTTAAACAAAAGTTAGATCAACTTGTTAAACAGAAAGTCGACAAAATTGTTTCTGAGAAAGTTGATGAGATTGTTACATCACGTCTTGAAGATAACGAGAGTGACAATTACGATTATGAAAGCCATGACCTTAATTATAGTGATGAAGAAGGTCACACAAACGAAGATTTTATTTTACCCGATAAGAACAATGATTCAGATAATATTATTCAATTATAATATATTAAAAAAATGTTATTTTTATTATTATCCTATTTTTATACATTTTTAATTTTAACAGTAAATTTTTTATTTTTTATTTTTATTTTTTTAAGGCTGCACTTACGCCCATCTGACTTTAATTCAAATTTTTGACAATCGGCGTGAAGCGTCATTGAAAATTAACCTTAAACACATGAATTGAAAGCCATGTCATAGGGGCGTAAGTGCACCCTTAAGAATATTTCAATAAATATTTTCCCAAATTTATGAATATATAAAAATCTAATCGATGATCTTTTCGAATCTATCAAACAATTTCCAATAAATATATTAGGAAATTGAATAGGTTAATAATTTGATTTATCTCTCGTAAATATAACGTTTCCACCTGTTGTGGCTGTCGATTTTTCTTCAACAAAAGAATGTGAAATGGTAAGTACATGTCCTTCTTCTTTCACATAAAACATTTTTCCCGCAATGGTATTTAAAAAGTGCAGTAATCTACTTTTGTAGTATATTTACAAAAAAATAGAACTTGGCTACTGCTTATACCGCATTTATTTCCAATAACATTGCAATATGAAACTGTATGAATCAGAGGATCTTGAACAACATTAACATCAAACCTCAGGGACCCGCTATCTTTTTGTATATATTCTCTATGAAATTCGAGAAATTGCATAAGCTTGGTTTTCCCCAAAGAATTATAGATAACAACGAGTATTGACTGCATTTATTATTTGTTATGTTATTATCCTCAAAAGAAATATCGCCACGCGCGATTGAAACAGTATAACTCCCTTGTTCTTCGTTTTCTCCACACTTAGAGATTGATACTTCAAATATGTAGTTTTTAGAATTATCAGAAGCTTTAGGAAATTGCTAAAATGCCATTGCAGATTGTGCTATGGATGCATAATAGCAATTTTTCTGTTGAACTAATTGACCTGCAGAGCATAGAAAATAAATTGACCAACCACTTGAGGTGGATTGACATCTATTAAATATGGTTTCTTCAACTAGGGTAAATATTTCATTGGATCTTTCAATATATATGGCACCTTTTTCTGTGCATTCTTCAAAGTTGCAAACGAAAATATGATAATTATTAGAACTCTTGATGTCATATAAAGATGTTCCATTCTTTGTATGGTTAAATCTGACTTCATTTTCAAAATAATCAGACCAGCTGAATTTTCTTGCATTTTTCAAATTTAAATTCGAGATGTATACTGTTTAATTGCATGATATATCTATTCATATGATTTTAATGTAAATTTTCTTTGTTTCCTAACCAAAATTGTTGATAAGCGTTTTCTATTTTTCAAAAACTGACATTAATCTGTTAATAATCCGACTAAAAAAAGTCATCTGAAAAATAACAATGTCTAGTTGATAATGAAATCAGCAATGATAACCAGGTATTAATATATTTATTTCAATTTATCGAGGAGAATCTCCTCTACATTATGCAGTGATTTCTGAAAATGAATTGGATATTCAAAAACTTGCATTAGTTTTGTAAAATATATATATATATATTACATCGAGATTTAAAACAACTATTTAGGCAATATTTCCAGTACAAAAAGTTCCATATCATGATATTACTTCGATTACTTTTCATATTAAGAGTCGTTCCTATGACGTCAATTTTATTCAAAGAGAATAGTGACAGTTCCCAGAAAAAAAAGCTGTTGAAGGCAGGAAAAGTCTGTCGAAAAAACAATAGAAACGCAGTGCATACCTTCTTTTGGGGAATTAAATCTCTTGACTAAAAATTTTTTTAAATAAAGTCTAAATATCAAAATAAATGTTTATTCATGGCATAATTGACTTAAATAGCGACTCTTTACGCACGCTTACATTAATTAAAAGAATGAGTAATATGCTTCAAAAGCAAATAGAAGTTATAGAGTGAATGTATTCATTATAAAACAGAATTTAGTAATACTACATTTGTTTTTTTATAAAAAATTAAATCAAACAAAAAAAATTTAAAAATTAATCCTCTTCTGCGTTACTAAAACTCTGGAAGAAGTCATGTATTTCCTTCTCTTCTTCCATTGAAGGTTCGTTAGTCATGATTCCTGTCCTCAAAACACTTTCCAAAATCGAAATTCCGTCTTCAGAATTTCTCATCATTGGAAGTAAAACTGTTTGTTGTTCTCTTTCCTTTAACTCGTCAATCTTACGCGCTGCCATCATCTCATTCTCCTCACGGCACTTCATGCAGAATTCCGTTTCATTTAAAGAATTTCGCTGGATAAGTGATTTTCTCTTTACAGAAGCTGCAGTGGAGGCCTTTCCTGTAGAGAGTTGGTTCTGTGTCGATCTTAACTGACTTATTATATGAGTTTTGCACATCTTCCGAAATCTTTTCTAATTTAACGGTTTTTTCATCGATTTCGTCTTGTAACTTCTGGAAATTGTCAACAGTTAAGTCAATGAACATGTCTAGAGTGCAGCATGACTTCAAACCTTTAACTATTGGAAGAAATTCGTTTAATCGAATTTTATTTTGTTCCAAAACGTATCTGACAACATTCCTGCAGCTCTCCTTATCATTTGACTCTGTAGCCTTCTGAAGAGCTTCATTCCAGATGTATGGATCTTCAATTTCGTATTTTTGGCAAATCTCAATATAATTTTTAGGTTTTGATAGTGACAAAACCTCTCTGTAGCATTTCTGATGCTCAAATATAATAATTATTGACTGAATTATATTTTCTTCATCTTTTTCCTTCTTGTCACTTTTTACTTCCCCGTTGTCACTTTTTTGTTGTTTTCGGATTTCGTTTAGTTTCAATTTTAATGCGAAAAGAATGTTTTCGTCATTGTATCTGTAGTTTGCTTTAACGATTGTATCATGTATTGATGATAAATCGTTGTTAAGTGTTAAAATAATTAATCTATTCCATAAATTTTCGCTTAGTCTTCTTGGATTCCTTTCTGAAATGATTCTTATGAACATAAGTTCGTAAACAGGGAAATCGCAGAAGATGATATGGATTTGGTCTGCTTTTAACATAAATTCTTTTTCATTTACACGAAAAGTTTGGCAACAAGAGTCTCCAATGTATTCTGTGAACTACTTCTTCTGTTCTTCACTGAAAGCGTGTAAAATTTTCATGCCGTAATTCATGATGATATAATTCAAAATTTTAGGGGGCATCACCTTCATTTGCCGGTAGATCGCGTTGTAATCCGAAATCCCGTCCATAATTGAACAGTAAGTTATATGCTTCTCGTAGGCAAGTGCTATTTTTGTTGCCTGTTCGATATATCCGCCTTGCTTAAGTACATCTACAGCGGAATCTACGTCAAAATTCGGATCTTTTCCTTCATTGGCTTCTGAGACGCACTGTTCGACAATTTTATTAATACTATCGGTCCTCTTTAGCTTCGTATAGCAATTAAACCTCAACGTTGTATGTCTACTGTCTTCTAATTTACGATCATGAAGAGCTTCGAGATATCGGATCAAATACTCGGCATGTTGTGGCTCAAGGAATAAAGTAATTACATATGATGGTGCTAAAAAGCCAATGGCTTCGATGTATTCGGATATTGCTCCGTCATAATCTCTTTTTTGAAGCCTTGAGTCGCCGAGCTGTCTGTGTATCTCTGCTACTGTTTCTTCTGACATCCTGTGCATCTTGGAGAGCTTCAAAGCGACTTCAAATTGCTTTGATTGCGAACAAAGGACATTTACCTTCTTTTCGATGGAAAACTCTGTAAGAATGGTAAGTTTGCCTGGAATACGTACTAAAATTACGGATCCCCATTCAAAAAGTGTAAATTGAGATTCTTTTCCAAATTTCGAGGTTCCAAACACGCAATGAGTATCTAACTGGTATATTCTGAGTGAATCTGATCTACTGTTGAAGTATCCAATGAGATATTCACGGTACCAAGTGATTTTATAAGGGGAACTGTCTAATTCAATGGAAGGGAACTTCAGATCAATACCGTTTGGTGTGTAAAATGATATTTTAGTATCAGTGCATATCGCCAATCTTCCGTTACTAACAATGCAAGATAATTCTGTCGGAACTCCGAATTCTTCGAATTGCATATGCGAAAAGGTATTTTTCTGTAATGTATAGCAGCCAATAGATGACTCTGTTGTATAATAAAGGGCGATTGTTCCGAAATTATCTTTTGAAAAATGCAAATTTGTAATTTTTTGAGAAATTTCGAGTTGTTTGAAGAGAACCATTGATTTATTCTTGGCTTCTATACCAGGAACTTTGTAAATTGATATTGTATGATAATCATGTGTAAATGCAAGAAAAGAAGCATCATTTAGTATTGTTAAGAAGGATGGCTCGATGTATTTATCATCTCTAAACTCTACAATGCTATACGTTTCGTTTAATTCTGGATTTGCAAGTAAAATTGCTGAATTTGTTGAATTTTTTGCCAAAATCAGAATAGCTGATATTTTAGTTGGTGTCAACAGTTTTTTAATTGGCAAATCGAAGAACTGTATTGGATTTAAATCACTTGTTGGGTTGTTAATGTAAGTTAAATATCCGGAATCATCTCCAAAAATCAAATTTCCTTGAAAAGAGCATGCACAATTATATGTGCTAAAATCACAGTTCTGTATATCATTTGATTTTGATTCAAAGAAGTGATATCTCATCCATCCTTGCATTTCACTTCTTTTTTTTTTCTTGCGATATCGTTTCTTGTTATTTGAGTGATTTTTATTTCTTATTTATAATATCCTAATGCAATATGATCTTTTTCGCTTATGAAATGATCACTTATTCCATAAATTTAATTCCAAATTTCTAAAAATATGTCATTTTCCTTAAATTAAAACGAAAAATTAATTTCTTCACTGAATATTATTGATTTTTATGTATATTTTAGTTAAAAAGTGTCATTAGATTAATATGCTTGATAGTGAAGATCATGAATCGTTCGTTACGATTTTAAACAAACTCAAAACCAAACTATCTAAGCTAGAAGAGAAAAGAGATCTTCTTAAATCAGCATTAGAGCAAGATGAAAAAGAAATTAAAGAATTAAAACAGGAAAAGAAGCAATTATCAGACGAATTTAAGAAAAAACATGCGTTGTATAATGAAACTCCATCGTATTCTAATCAAAAAACTCTCCGTGTATTAAGAGCAAATGTCGAAGCGTTAACTAAGCAATATGAAGAAGTACAGCAAAGTTTGCAGAACCAAAAGGAAGAGAATAGTGCCTTAGCAATATCTTTGCTTGATACGTCATTATTAAGTTCTCATAAAAAATCTATTGCGTTTGTTAGGCAATCACTACTATCGGAATTACATGAGCTCGTGTCAAAGCAAATGCCAGCCGACATTATATTAAAAAAGGAAAAACAAATTCAAATGTGCGATGCTCTTGCGTAATTGTTCCGTAATTATGAGTCATTCTATCTACTGAGAATGATCCTGCAAAATAGATGAATTAATTTTTTTAGAATCCAACATTTTTACGATCCTGCTCTAATGACCACTACATTGGATCTAACCTCATGAGTGATCTGTAATTGGTAAATAGATTCATACATATATCAATTATCTTAAATTTTGGTGAATAAATCTTACACCTTATTTGTTTGTTTGGAATAAAACCATGAATGTACCTCGAATTTCTAAATCCTAAGGTATCTTAACCACCATATCAATGGTTCACTCCAAAACGAAAATATAAACCCCATAATTTCAGATAAAAGTTCCTATTATTACTTGGCCGTCATTGAATTATTTAATATTGATACATTCACTATTTTTGACAAAATTTTAAATTTTCATGGGGTTGTAAATCTTATAATAACTAGATGAATAAGGAATGAATCCCAGTATAATGTGCATCATTATATTAAACACTATATGTAAGGCTAATGATTCTATTAACACTTATGAAGATCTATAGTATTTGAGCAGATAAATTTGATAATTTCCAAAACTCTTATATTTCAAAATTAAAGTGTGCGAATGCATTTAAATGAGAGCAAAAAGAGATTGATGCTGTTAAAACTAGGTGTTAATTTGCAATTATTTCGCATCACAAGAACTACCCAGTAAATTCGGCTATCTTTCTTTGCAATTATTCTCCATTATACATATAATATAATGGTTAGGGTTTGAAGAAAAGTTACTAGAGAATTATTGACTTTTGAAATAATGCAGAATTTTACTTGAAGAAATCATTAATTTATGAGTTCCAAATTGCTAAGCATGACGAAGGATCATTAAATTTGCTACAATTAAATACATTTATTGCAGAATTAAGATTTTTGAAATTAAAAGTTTGAAATATTGCCTTTTTGAATAAAAATTTAAATTTTATTATATAATCATGATAATATCTTATAGAAATTAAAAGAAAATATTTTAAACCATTCAAATATTTTGAATGTCTTATCAATTTAAAATATTAAAAGATAGCTTGATTTTATCATCATTAGTTGTTATCAAAGTTTTCTTCTTTTGATGAACAACAGTAAATGATTTGTTAATAGCTTGTCTTCCTTTTTTGCACCAAAATCAAAATTCTCACCCGATCAGTAATCGAAATTTTTGTAGCATACGATTATTTTCCATTGAAAAAATATCACTAAAAAACTTTAAAAAATTAACTTTTATTCTTAATTTCATGTATGAAGGAGGTAGGAAATGACTTTAAGATTGACATCCTATTCATGGCTAAAGTTTTGGGAACTTTGAAGCCTAATTTGATATTGAAATTTTGGAAGATCAATGAATATGGGGATAAAAGTTGCATATCCTTGGACATTAAGAGGACATGTTATGAGAGTGGATAGCGTTCGACGATTCACTGAAAAAGTTACTCCTCGAAAAGACTATCTAAAGCCATCAAGTTTTTTGAATATTTTCTATCGTCTTTTTATTTTTAGTAAATTAGGATGCTCATTAAACAGTATGATTAAATATACAAAAATTTTTAATTTATTTTTCAAGGGAAAATAGTAGTATATGTGGAAGGGTTGTGTGACTTTTTTTGTAAACGTAAGAATTCATACAATATCGAGCGATTTTGTATCATTTTTTTTAACATATGAAGTAAAAAATGTATGATTCTTACGGTTTTTATTCTTACGTTTTTGAATAAATCAAGATTTAAAAAATTTTCAAAATTGTAAGACATTTACACTCAGCCCAAACATAAACGCATTAAAAAATTAACATTAATTTTAAAATAATTTATTTTTTATCTTTTATAAAAGAAGCTATATATATAGATGATGTCAGATATTCCGTGATTAATTAAACATTGTTTAAATCCTGAATGGAATCAATGGAGTCATAATCAAAGACCTCATAAACGAGTAAAAGAAATTAGAAATAATTATTTTCATGAATAAAAGATTCACTACCATAATGAAATAAAAAATAAAAAAATAAACTTTAAAAATTCATGTCTTACATTTTTGAATAATTTATTTTTTTAATTCGTAAGAAATGAGCGTCAAAACTAACGACGTTAAAAAATTAGGATTCACAAACAAGGAAATAAAGGATATATTAGATGAGTTGTGTTATGAAGTTAGTAAATATTATTTAAGAAATTGTCAAAAATTTGCCGAGTTATTAAATGATTTAGATTATGATGGAAAAATGAATAAAGATGATGTTATAAATTTCTTATATCCCACATCTGAAGAAGAAAAACCTAAAGAACCTGATGTTTTCCCTGAATATTATGAAGAACGGATTAAAGATGATGAATACGATGAAATTGAAAGACTGGAAAAAATAAGAGATGAAATAGATGAAAAAATTAAGGAATTAAGAGAAGTTGAAAAATATAATGAAAATGAAGTAGAGGGTTTAATGAATATCCCAGCTTCAGAATCAGCAGTTCAGAAATCTCATGAAGAAAGATATAAAAATTATGTCTCAGAATCAACACAAAATTTATTAGATGGCGAAATAGATGAAACACTTTCAGAAGAAGGTACTAAATTTATACGTAAACATAAGTTACAATTTATTGATAATGAAAAATACCCTTGGATCTTACTTTCACCCCCTCTCGATTCTGAGAAATTCAAAAAAGCTCTTAAAAACGTGACATATGCAACTACCCAGATTTGCTTTACTTTTACCACCTCTCGAAAGCTGGGGACACCGCCTATCGTTGGGAGTAGCTATTAAATAGAACCACCAAGGGTATTTTTCGAACTGCCGGTGTAGTGTAGTGGAAACATCTGACATAATGATTTGTTATGCCAAGGTTTGATTCCCCTTTAGCCAATTTTTTTCTTTTATGGATCATGAATTTTTTTTTGGGTCACTATAAGATTTGTTTCATGTTCTAAATCTGCTGCATATGTAATCTATTTTTATTTACCTATTTTTTTAAAAATCTATTGGATTGCCAAATTTGAATATATTTAAAATCATAAAAATCCAAAAAAACTATAAATATATGTTTTATGCATAGTGCCGATACTCAAATATCAGATTACTTAGATCCATGAATAATATCCGAATTTTTTTTCTTAAAATTAAACTTCAAAACTTCTTCCAATCTTATTCTTAATCAATTGTAAATTTTTAAAACCATTTTTTAAAATAATTTTGCGTAAATTTTATTCTCATGTTGTTTTAATCGAAAATTGATACATTTTCAAAAAAATAATATTGACTTATGAAATTCATTTTTAAGGTGAAATAGTATTGTTTTTATTAAAGTATATGAATAATATATAAAAAATTAATGAATAATATAAGCAGATTTTTAGTTTACAAAACAAATATGAGCAATGCAATTTCAAACTTCTGCTGGCAATTTCGATATTGCTCAAGTTTGTAGTATTTGTGATACCTATAACATCGGCTTAATCAAAATTCGATTTTTCTTATGAGTTATTGAGAAAATTTGATTGCAATGAGAAGGATTTCGACGTTTTTGATAAACTAAGAGCTGAGCTTTAGGGGTTCAGTTCATTTATGGCTGTAGTTTGATGCGTAGATCTCTTTTTTATTGTAAATTCTTTCAGCATGGAGATCGAGAATGAATCTTTTGAGAACTTTATGAGTTTTTACACCCGTAAAGAGGTCCTTCGAGGAAAGATAGTCCAGACTACATGAAGATGTGGGTTAACCAAAAAAATCCGATGGTTTCCCCATATTCATGTAGATCTTCGAAAAAATGAGCACCAAAAAAGCCAAAAAAATAGGCTTTTTATTGGATTTGTACACTAGATCAATAATCTATTTAGGATCTGACACTCTTTTTAGCCAGAGATATGAGGTCCTTTCTAGGAAAACGATCTATTCATCCATAAAAAAAATGAATTATCGTTTTCCCCAGAAATTACATGGGGAGTGGTAAAAGTAAAGCAAATCTGGGTAATACGATTAAGAAAGAAGATCATGATATTTACACAAATTATTATTTAAATAAATGCACAGGTGTTGATAAAGTTTTTGATTTATTAGATAAAATATCAAAAGAAACCATTGGAACCTATAAAATTTTGTGTGATTGTGGTTTCATTGTTGAAGATACTAATAATGTTTCATATGAAAGAACAGCACCGAAGGAAGATGAAGTGGAAAGGTCTATACCATTCGTTATTAAGAACATAAAAGATATGAAAACGTATAAACATTATATTTATTCATTTATTTCAGAAAAAATGGAAGCAACCCATAAAACATCTTCTCATCATTTTATAGCTATTCATACATTCCTTTTCAAAGTTGTGAAATTAAATAAGACAGGAATTAGATTTAATGTATCGGGGTACACATTCTTGAGTAAATTAAAATGTATTCGTCACGTCGCAGATGATAAAAATTTATGTGTTCTTAATTCATTTTATGGGCTTTAAAAAAATAAAGTTTATTTTTATTTATTTTTATTTATTTTTTGATATTTTTTTCTTACATAAATGAACAAAAACGGAACAGCTAAAATGAATGATAATCAAATTAGAGCAGAAGGTAGAAGGTTATTTAAACGCTTCTATAACATTCCTGATGGTGTTAATCCTAAAACTCGTAGAAGCTATTTAAATGAAGCAATAGTTAGTATACCTATCTTGGGTACGGCGGCACTGCGTTCCACCTTACCCAACACAAACGACAACACTAACTTAACCTTAAATATTTACAAAGCCGCCAACCACTTCACCTCACTAACATTTTCGCTAACGACTTCACTAATGAAAAAATAAACGTTCTCACTAACGTTCCCACTAATGTTCTCATTTACAAAAGTATTGAAGCGCTTCCCATTGCTGTGCTTCACACAATAGTTCATATTCTTCAGTATCGCTGCTGTCACTCCAATCGTCAGAGTCAAAATCACTGTCAAAAAAATGTATGTAAGTTTTGACAAAGCTAATGAAACACGCTTACCGTTTGTATCTATT